CTCGTCCAAATCATCAATAAAGATGTTAAGCAGTACTGGCCCCAATACTTTGGAAATATGTAGATAGCCTCTAAAAGTTTGATTAAAAATTTTCTTTGAAGATGCAGTCTTTCCATGTTGTATTCAGGATGCTACACGTATTAGCTGCTACCCCTCTTTTCTGCACTCCCCCAAATAAGATGGTGATTTTGTACATAGATCACATGAACAGTTTCTTCTGCTTTATTACTTGAAGCTTTCTTTTTCTTCTGAGTACAGTGGTACCTAGAAAGGAGATAACTTGCTAGGGGCAAGAAAAAAGAAAAATTAACGCATCTAGTACTGCTAAATACCTTGAAATGTATGCATGATTTGTTATCTCTTTCATTCACATTCTAAGATACAAGCTTCTAGATCAATATCCTGATCTAGAAGTCTTTAAATCACTGCTGAATCAATTAGATAAAGTTCTGTGTTCTTAAAAGTACTTCTGATACTATAAAAATTTGGCAATTGACCATTTTGCAGCTTTTAGGGTGACTGTTGCTCTGACTGCACTGAAGATGTTGACATTAAGTGTTAAAATAGATTGGTTTTGACAGTTAAGTATTTCTACTTCTTTTATTGTGTATGCTACAATTTAGGCCTTGTACGTTTGACTGTGACAAGTTTGACATTTGGTATTCCTGTTTGTTTTGTTAGGATGTATTTAGTTTTCAGGTGTCTCCTAACATGAATCCCATCAAACTGAATGAGCTGGCAATCCGAAAACGTTTGACTATCCATGGAAAAGAAGATGAGGAAGTTGATCCTGCTGACTATGTGCTGCAAGTCAGTGGAAGGCTAGAATATGTTTTTGGTGATCACCCACTAATTCAGTTTCAGGTACATAAAGCTCTTTGGAACTTAATGTGACAGTTCTATGGTGCCTTGGCCAAAATTTGACCTTGCTTCCTGTGCCACTGGATGGTCAGCTATACTGAACAGTAATACACTTCCTCCTCAAGTCTGCAGCCCTCTCCAACTGTAAAATATGTGTGCACCATTTCCTTTGTAATATATTCTTTGGTTTTTTTTATTTGAAAGTTACTGTAGAAATAGTCTGTTAGCTGATAACAACTGTTTTCCATGGGCTTTTAGTATATACGCAACTGTGTGATGAACAGGACTCTTCCTCAGCTGACTCTAGTTGAGTGTTGCACCATAAAGAAAATGTGCGAGCAGGAGATGATTGCCATAGAAGCTGCCATAAATCGAAAATCATCCAACCTTCCTCTTCCTCTGCCACCAAAAAAAACAAGAACAACAACCGTAAGTTGTTATGGAGAATATCTAATACCCAAAAGGAACAGTGACTTTTGGAATATAAATCACAGTGCCTGAGATTTGTGCTACTACTACTGTTTTCCAGTGTAGGTCACCTGAGTCTACTCAGAGCCTCCTGTTGCTTGCGAGAAGGTTTATATGAGAAATAGCAGACCTTGAGGCTTTATGGAAACTTCTTACCTTCCCTCGTGTCATCGATCCTCCTCCCCTCACTGTCTTCTTTCCGTTGCTATTGATTCTACTTTTAATCACAACCCAGAAGAGTGGGTAATGATCTGTTACCAGCGACTGGAGAAGTTACTGCAGAGAACCTGGATTCTGCAGCTTCAGTGCAATGTGTAGGCTCCACTAGCTTGGGCAGTAGTGGTCTGTGATCTGTTGTATTAGCCCAGATACATTGCAGGGTGTTGCCACCTCAATGGTGGCAGCTTTTGCCATAATACATACCTCACTTCTAATATGGTGCTTCCTTTATTGCTAAACTTATGGCCTTACAGCACTGTTATAATTTAGGTACTGTCGTTGTAAGAAATGTGGACAGACTTTGCTCTGTATATATTCAGAATGAGCAATAACTTTGAAGGGTTATTCTGAATTGTCAGCAAGTAGTACTCAATGTATTTTCTCACCTCCACCCCACCCCCCTTTCAGCTGAGTGTTTTTTTCTTTTTTCCGCTTTAGGACGTCTTGTATGCTCTTGTAGTTATGATAACCAACTTGGTTTTTCAGATTTCAAATTTATATTTTAATAAATACATCTCAGTTTGTATTTATGACTTCTGCTTAAAATGTTTAGCTTAAAATAGGTCTCAATATGTTACATTGATTAAGAATGAACTTGTATCTTTGTTTCCCTTCTCAGAGCGTATGGGATATTGCCAACCCTTTCAAGATTATTCTGTTAAAGGGTAATAAACTAAATACAGAAGAAAATGCCAAAGTAAGTAACTATGCTTAGTATCAGAAGACGTTCTGTTCATCATTTTAATAGTTTTTCAGTGTTTAGTGAACTCAGTCATACAGATTTCAGTTCAGCAAAGTTATATTGGTAGTATTCATTAAAATCTTACTTTATTGCTGAAGTATTGCTTTATTGTCTGAAGTTGGATATGTGCACTAGAAGATTATCACTAATCATGAACAGTATGACATGAATGTTCATATGGCACTTGTTTCTTAAAGATGGTATCTGTAAAGTACTGATGTTTGTGTGAAATAAGTTTATTCAAACTAAACTGTTGTAAGCATCTGACAAACAGAAGTAGATCAAATATTAAAAGTTTTTCTATGGAACAGAAGGTATTTCCGTAGTCTAGAATATATTCTCTGTGTGTCTAAGCAGGAACTGTATGCTTCTATACAGTATATGTATAGTACATATACATACATACAGTACAGTATGCTTCTAAACATGCTGAACACAAAAAAAAGCTGTAGTATCACTTCCTGTAAAAATGTACACGAGCGGGCTACTGACTATTTTACAGATCACAGGTTGTTAACACATGGGAATTTATTGCACAACTACATTAAGACCTTACAAGACACTTGCCTGTGAGGTCGAACAACATTCACTTCCTTTATTTTTTTTGGTAATCAATAAATTATATAGCCAGTCATGTAGATAGGGAAGAAATTCAATTAGTCATTGAAGTTTGCTGTTCTGATGTTTTATTCAGGATACTCAATACTTTCAAAACTATTGTTACAAACTCCTTGTGTATTAACAACACTACATTTTACTACATAGCTAAATGAGACATAGTTACAATTTTACTACCCGAGACACTTCAACCGTGGAAATGGATGCCTGCAAAAACAGATGTTTCCTTTTTCTTTGTATAAACCATTATTTGGCTAGTTGTAATATTTTCTTAACTCTACGTTCTGTAGACTCTTAGAGCTTTTACAAGAAAAGGGAACGGAAAAGAGAAAGTGGATTCCAGAAGCAACATAGCTAGAAAGTGTGGTGGTTTTTTTTTTAATACTTACAAAAAAGTGAGTTTTAGTTAATTTCAGTATGATCTTAGAGGAAAAAGAAAATATGTTGATTGTAAGCTTGAGGAAAAACAGGGAAAATTGACAATTCTTTGGTATTGGTGCCTATGGACACTATCTGAGTATTATTTAGTATTTTAATGCTTTTTAGTCTTGAAAACTTTCTAGTCCTGTAGTTACCCAAGAACAAGAGTGCATGTGGTAACCTTGCAAGCTTGCGCATGTTTCCCTGCATTGTCTGCCTACAGTATTATGGAAGTGTCACTATGGAGAACGTATTTGTTTCCTAGTCCTGATTCTAAGGCTGTTTAATTCACTGCCATTGTTCTTTTAGTTTCATTGTGCTTTGGATCAGGCCAATATTCATCTGTTTTTGCTGAAACCACCAACAGGGTTCATAAATGCAGTATTTGTAGTGGGAAACAAAACATTTGTCAGATGGACAGCAGTCCACTAATGTGAACTGGATTGAGTATTTTCACCTAGAGCACAAGTGACTTCATTCAGCTGTCTAACACCCAGTTTTCCAAATACATGAGATTTGAAATTGCTTTTCTTTTTATCTTGCCCTTTAGCTGCACCATCAGTACATACTGTTTCGTTAGTAAAAGGGGAGTGTCAGAATGAAAAGAATAAAATTGGGATCCAGTCCCTTACATTAACAGGATTGGAAATCATAGAATTAGAACAAGCTAAAAGGCAAGCAAAATAGAAATGTGTTCCAACAGTACAGTGCTTTGTTACTATCAAATTTTACTTGATCGCTTCTGCTTTTTATATAAATAAAGCAAAAGAAAAGTCAGGGAAGTGTGGTGGCATACAAAGCTATAACATCAGATGACAGCAAGTCAAAGAACAATATTCAAAATTATGCAAATGTGAATTTAAACTCCTGGTTTTAAAAAACAAACAAATGGAAACCAACACAACAAAAAAATCCAAACAAACCAGGCAGATATGAAAATATTTCCTGTCGCTGTTGTTAAAGCACAAGCAGATAATACACTAGACATAATCATATTTCCATAAGGTGTCTTTAAATCAGCAAAGGAACTTGATTATAAATTCAGTTGAACATACAATGAATCTCCAAATGAAATAATAAAAGACCAGCTGGTGAATTGTTTCGAGAAGGTTATGGAACAACTAATTTTAATCAGTTCTCTGACATTAGCCATGGTATTTCCTTTTTGAAGAATATAAAACTGCAGTCTTTAATTACAGAGGAATAAAAAACCCAGCTGTAAATGTAATCAGCAAGAATTTCAATTGTATATGTGTATATAAAACCTGTATTGTTACATATAGGTATGTACACACATGTGTAGTCTGTATACATTTAGATTTCCTGAAGTAAGATTACTTTCATGCGATCTGTTTCATGTGTGTTCATGTTGCTGTTCTTAACTCACAGTGGTTCACAGTGGTGAAGCTGTGCATGCCAAAAATAGGTAATTGTGTATTTTATGAGTGTCACTGGGACTCAAGTGAATGTAGTTTTTTTTAACTGAACTTTTTCTTTCAGTGATTGATTGTAAGCTCGGAAATGAAATTGGGATTGTATATATGTAAGTCAACGAGTCAGTTTAATAATGGAAATTCCTATGGCACCTATATCAAGAAGGAGTCTAACCCATAACAGTGTGTTCTCCAAGACCTAATACCTCTGCCAATGGCTGTGCTGCGACAGCAGTATCTTGAGCAGTGGTAGCAATTGTTTCAGAGAAGTCCAGAATGATCAGAATGGGTGTTATTTGGAGACCATCTGTTGGTGCTACTCGTACCTTCTCCAGGGATTATTCTGGGCTGAAGGCAGATCTGCTCTCTAGCCTGACTTCGTTTGAACTGTAATACAGTTTGCTAATGACTAGTCTATCTGATCTAGTTTACGAATGGAGAGCTTAGTACTGAGCGGTAGTTGGTGTAGCCAAAAAAGGCACATTGAGATTGGGACTGCTTTGGGGTTGATCACACTGTTGTTTCTTTGAAGGAGGGAAAGATAGGCTCTCTCCCCCAACAGATCTTGCCTATGTCAGTTGGGAATTCAAAGGTGAATTATTTTTTTATCCAAAACCTGTACCAGATTTTAAACATCTCTGCCTTTCCCTTACAGTGCTTAGAAATAGTGTGATGGCTGGGGTTGGTTGAGGAGCGTAGGGAACCTGAAGCATCAGTTCACCTTTTACTCATTTAACCATAACATTGAGAACTTCTTTTTGGTGTTGACAAAAGGATGAAATTTGTTGGTTCTCTCTTTCTCTCTCTCCTCCCACCCCCCCTTTATAAAAACACTTGCATTTTGGAAGGTCACCTGAAAGAAGTTGACGTATTTCTCTTTGTTGTTTGCTCAGGCAACAGAAATAAAGACCACCTTATCATTATTGTTGAAACTGTCTAAGAGTATGGATACTTGGACACGTGCAGTTTTCTGCATACATATGTTATTAAACAGAAATGCAGAAATGAGCCACACCTTAGCATTGACCTGTAACGTGTTTAATTTCAGTGCCAATAGCTCCAGCTTCTTTCTCTTCTTACCCTTCTCCTTTCCTGTTCATTATTTTTATCATTCAAGCTAGCTGGTTTTGTTGATTACTGGGTACTAAAAATAAAACAGAATTCCTGGGTATTATGTATGTTGTTGTTGTTATTACAGGTGATTTCTGATGTCAGGGTCAGAGTGTTCCCTCTGTCCACTGTTATAAACAATTTAAATTAAAAATACATTTTTTTCTTAAGCTGAAAAAACCCCAAACTTTTCTCAATTAGAGGCCTGAATTGGTTCTACCTGGAGATTTGAATTTGTATTCAGAAAATTAGTCTTACTTTTTTCATTCTGCTTAGTTGTCCATTTCCTACAATTTCCTTCTGAGTTAGGTGTGTTAACTTAGAAGCATTTGTATATCCATACATTGCATTTGTTACTACGAATGATTTGTGTTATTCTTAGTCATATGTGATAATATAAGGAATTCAATACTGAAAAATTTGATAGCCAACATTATTTAAACAAATATTTTGATTTGACCAGGAGCATGAGAATAAATTCTTTTTACTTTGCTAGTCAGGAATTGTTTGGTTCATTTTAAAACCTCAAAATTAGTGTTGTTTTTTTTTTAAAGACAGAAATATTGATGAAATGCATGTATGTATGTTCTATATAATACTCTATGCAGAATTCTGTAGATTCTGTGGCAAGCTTGAAATTTCTCATTTCTTTATTGCAGGTTCACGTTAGGGCTGGTCTTTTCCATGGTACAGAACTCCTTTGTAAAACTGTTGTAAGCACAGAAATATCTGGGAGAAGTGACCACCTTTGGAATGAAGTACTAGAATTCGAGATAAATGTCTGCGATCTACCAAGAATGGCAAGGCTCTGCTTTGCAGTTTATGCTGTGATGGATAAGATGAAGACTAAAAAGTCAACTAAGGCAATGAATCCTTCCAAATACCAAACCATTAGGAAAGCGGGAAAAGTGGTAATTATTTAATTTGTTTTTCTTGAGTGTACCTCTGAGTTATATTGAAATAAGTATTCAGAAATCTTTCATTGTCCTCACTTTAGTGTTCAAGAATGCAAAATGAAAAAAAAAAATAACAAATTAAACAGAGCATATGTATGAAGAATTGCACATCTTGGTATGAAAAGAAGTTTTCATACTGCTCAAACACTGAAAAAGACATGAAAATTTTTCTTCTAAGCCAGTTGGCAAATGGTTGTTTAAAGAATAGTATTTTAAAAAGTCAGTTTTGTTTTGAACTCTAGATGAGTTGTGATTGGGAAAATATGAAAAAATTAGCATCTAGGCTCACATTCAGGGAAAGGCTCACATTCAGGGAAATGTGTACAGGGTGGTGGAGTGACACCCTTAAAGTTAAGTCTTATTGTCCTCAGTAGTGCTGGAGTATGTACTGGAAACTATGCATGTGTTTAACTGCTTTTCTGAAAGATATTACTGTTTTGAAGAAACCAACCCTCTCAATTCTACTTAGATTTCAGTGCTTGCCCCATGGTAATGTTCAGTGGCATCTTAGTTTCCATGTAAAAATTCTTTCCTTTAACAGCATTATCCTGTAGCCTGGGTAAATACCATGGTATTCGATTATAAAGGACAGTTGAAGAATGGAGAACTGGTACTGCACAGCTGGTCATCGTTTCCTGGTAAAGTTTGACTTTCAAAATTTGGACTTTACTTATAAAGCTAAAGAAAAGTAGTATCAAATGCTAGAATATTTGCTGTGTGCATGTGCAATTCTCCTGTCATAGTCTCCTTACTACTTGTATTTTTTTGTGTGTATAAATATATAAAGTCTCAGTCTCTTTCCTGAAAGTATTGTGTATCAGGAAAGAGGAAGGGCAAGAGTCTGCTTGGAAATAGTATTCTGAAAGTTTTACCTGTTACAGAAGGAAAATCACATAAAAATAGACGGATGTTTATATCTAGTGTTACCTGGTTTTAAGATGCAGTTTAGGTTTCATTTGGTTCCCTCCACTATGCATCCTAAACTAAATAGATAAACTGTATTGTATGTGACAATATTTGCATCAGCAAAAAATGTGAATTAGAATTTTTATTTCAGTCTTCCTTCCCTGGCATTCAGATTGATTAGTAAGAGTGTCTGAAATCTCCATGTCACTCTTCATTCCATCCTGAGAAACCCTGTGTCAACTTGGCTGTAGTGCTGAAAGAAGTCTGGCTTAAAACTCTCTTCTTTTTTTCGTGCTATTTGATGCAGAGGCAGTGGTTATACTGGTTTACAGAAGCTGCAGATCTTACTGGGATTTGGTTCAGTATAGGGATATCTCAGCTTCCCAGGACTGTTACATTTATTTTGGAAAGAGAAAAATCACTTTCTCACTGGGTGATAGTCCTTCATTTGTGAATATAAGAGGTATGGGTAGTTTATGCTGGAAATGCAGTGCACTGTAGTAAACGTGCTGTGCAGCAAAAGATGCTTCTGTCCATTGTATACAGTATGCACCTTTGCCTTTCAGATTTTTTTAGTTTTAATGTATGCTTGACCTGTAGTGTTAATTGTTCCGTCTAATGTTTCAGATGAACTTGAAGAAATGTTGAATCCAATGGGAACCGTCCAGACTAATCCTTACACTGAAAATGCAACAGCTTTGCACATTAGATTTCAAGAATATTCAAAACAGCCTATTAATTACCCTCCCTTTGATAAGGTAAGGTATGACATAAAGAGCAGTCATGAATGCTTATGTGTAAATAGCTATTTCTTCTTTCCTTTCAACAGTGCCTTTTCCACTGAATTCGCCACTTGTTGCCTTTTAGTTCACATTCTGCAGTTTTTTTAAACTTGCGCTGCGTGAGAGTGCCAGTGCTCTGACTTCAGGGTCCTCAGGTAGTATTTTGAAGACATATACTTTAAAAAATACTCCGTACATAGTCTCTTGAGGGTCAGAAGCATAATCAGTTTCCCATAATAGTGATCTTACAAAAAGCTAAAATTGTCTGCCATTCTGGAAACTTTAAAACTGTGTTTGTTTCTGATCTATAAAGATCTGTTACTTCTTTGTACAAATGTGTGTTACCCACTCTTTGGGACACTTCTTTCCTGTATGAGCTAAAAATCCTTTTAAGGATAAATAGACTCTTAATACTGCATGAAAAGGGATTTCTCAAGGTCTGTACTTGAACTAAATCCACTTAAGTTGCCCTGCAGCTTTCTACAGATATGGATAAGAATGTCTGTCTAGAAAGGAAGTGTGTATTTGAAATACACGTGGTGTAATGTATGTAGTGTGAATCATAGAATCATGGTTGGAAGAGACC